GTCACAGAGGATCTTGAAAGCCACCTTGGGTCGGAGGTGAGTCGGCAGATAGTCTGCCACGACGAGTCCTCATGTGTGAACAAGTCTACGAGCAAGTCGTCCCCTCGTCTGAGACTGGGACTGGATATCTGGCATGCTAGAAAACTGGAGAAGTCTGACACGACTGACAAAGAGCATCAGCCAATGGGAGGCAGGATACGTCCCATGTCAGTTAAATCTAAATATTAAATCTAAATAAATCTAAATGCTAAATCTAAATCTAAATGTTAAATCTAAATATTAAATCTAAATCTAAATGTTAAATCTAAATGCTAAATCTAAATCTAAATGTTAAATCTAAATATTAAATCTAAATCTAAATGTTAAATCTAAATGCTAAATCTAAATCTAAATGTTAAATCTAAATATTAAATCTAAATCTAAATGTTAAATCTAAATGCTAAATCTAAATCTAAATGTTAAATCTAAATATTAAATCTAAATCTAAATGTTAAATCTAAATGCTAAATCTAAATCTAAATGTTAAATCTAAATATTAAATCTAAATCTAAATGTTAAATCTAAATGCTAAATCTAAATCTAAATGTTAAATCTAAATATTAAATCTAAATCTAAATGTTAAATCTAAATGCTAAATCTAAATCTAAATGTTAAATCTAAATATTAAATCTAAATCTAAATGTTAAATCTAAATGCTAAATCTAAATCTAAATGTTAAATCTAAATATTAAATCTAAATCTAAATGTTAAATCTAAATGCTAAATCTAAATCTAAATGTTAAATCTAAATATTAAATCTAAATCTAAATGTTAAATCTAAATGCTAAATCTAAATCTAAATGTTAAATCTAAATATTAAATCCAAAACTAAATGTTAAATCTAAATGCTAAATCTAAATCTAAATGTTAAATGTTAAATCTAAATGTTCTGGGTGAAACTAAATATTTAGCTAATATGCAAATTCACACTGCTGGTCACCGGAAGTACCAAAATAAAAGCTTGAGATGGTCAGACTGTGTTTATAGAATCAAATAATGAATTAAAACCAACTTATCAGGGGAAATGAACACTTGAACATACATTAGCGTGATAATAACTACCTAAAATAACAAAAAACATGTCTGGAGAAATTTTATTTGAGGTTTACTTTGAGTTGTTAGTGTCCCCACGGAGCGAATCACCTTATCATGTGAACTAGGCTTAAATCTCCCTGAATCTTACACACTTGCTAGCCCTGTGGTGTTGGCTGCTCCCGCTCATGCTCCTGCTTGGTGCCAGCTCCCTCACACAAAACAAAATATCCAAAGGGCACAAACACATCAGGTTCAATGACTTGCGAATTAGCTGAGATGACGCCTAGCAGACAGCCAGCAGCTAGTTAGCCACCTGTGATGGCGCCACCTGTCACTCAAAGTGACCACGCTGTTAATTATGCACAACTTTAAGAGTTAATCAAATTTAAATGGATGAGTTAAAAAAAAATTCACCCCCCGTACAGTTGTCATGAAAGGAGAAATTAGCTCTAGAGACCAAACCCCGTTTTTTTGTACCAGGCTGTAAACATGTTTATTTCTGCTGTAAAGTTGAGCATTTTAACATGGGGGTCTATGGGGATCAACTTGCTTTTGGAGCCTGCCTCAAGTGGCCATTCAACGAACTGCAGTTTTTGGCACTGCCGCTTGTTGGCTACATGTGTTATCACATGATCTGTTAGGTGACCACCCTTGGTTGTACATCATATAGAGGTGTGTCTTCTTATCTTGTTTATGTGCGATGAAGGGCTGGTGCCCGAAACATCACATGTGGTGATACGTTTAAAGTTTCCAAAAGGAGCAGTTTCTGGTGTGCGGACCTGTTTTTGTGCTTTTTTCGCTCAAACCTTGAATAAAAAGGGATTTTTTTTTGAGTTCCTGGTGCCTTAGTAAAACTTTTGGTCACACCCATCTTCCATCTGCCTCCTCCACCTTTGATGCAGCCAGTCTGAGTCCACTCAGACCCGCGAACATGGGCTTTGTTAGTATGAGACCACCTCATATTGAGGACATGACACTGCGGTTATAAGGAGCAGCCTGAGTGATATCACTGTTAACAGCATGAGAAAAGCAGAGCGTTGACACACACAGTTTTCTGAGTGCTGCTATTTCAGGGCGTGAAGGTGTAGATGGAAGATTACAAAAGAGATCAAGGAGGTGATGATGAAGTAGTTTCACACCATTAATATAATATAAATGTTAGTTACTGTAGAGAGGCTGATGAGGATATGTATTGTTTTATCATCTGTGCTTTCAGAATTAAACCTTTGGTGGTTACTATGTGATCCCGAGGAGGCGTTACTCCCTCTGCTCCTGGTTAACAGCCATAGAGAGGGGTGAGGGATTTGTCACCTGCATTAATGTCACCTGCACTCTTCAGTTTTGTCACTTCAGGCTTTGGTCAGTCGCTCCAGGATTGGTTATTTGGTGGAGAATAGCTCCAGCAGGGATTTTATTGCACATAACACCATGTACAACACGTCGCCGGTGAAAAAACAGCCCTGCTTCGTGCCTCTACTGTCACCGTTTGAGTTTAATACCTTCCATTTACTAGAGTCTCTTTATTAGTTTCAGTGTCTGCTCTCTGTATTGCGCTAACAAAAGGCCATTGACTTTCTGTTCCCGGGCTAAAAACCTGGACGAGTCTTCAGAGGGACATTTCAGTGTCCAAGGCTTAATCACTCCACCTTCTGCAGCTACACTTAGATCACTGAAAAACAATCAGTGACAAGCTGTTGTGCCATTGTTATGAGGAATTAACACATCTCTGTTTTTACTGTAGAATTAGTAACTTCATTATGCTGCTGTATTTTTGTCAGTACAGTGATTATTCAGCAGGTATTTGAGTATCAAACAGAGGGGTCTTTGTTCAGGAATCCAAAAAGTGGAGTTTATACTCTTTAATTTCTTAATTAAAAATCTACATATGGGGATTATTTTATGGGAAGAGTTCAGTAATTTAAGACTCAGTATATTAAATGTGACAATGTTTAGCTCATTAAAAGGTACACCAGAGTCTGAGCCAAAAACATCACCACTTAGTGCTTATACGTCTCTCTTGGATGACATACACTTTTAGTAATGAGTGGATCTTCAAGTGCTTAAAAATGAATTTCGGGGGCGTCGGTAGTGAAGTGGATAGTGCCAGCGCCCCATGTACAGAGGCATCACCTCGCTGCAGCGGACGCAGGTTCGAGTCCGGCCTGCAACCCTTTGCTGCGTGTCAGTCCCCACTCTCTCTCTCTCTGTCTCCCCATTTCACACACTGTCCTATCCATTAAAGGCAAAAGCCTGGGGCGTTGGTAGAGTAGTGGATAGTGCCGGCGCCCCATGCACAGAGGCATCTCCTCACTGCAGCAGCTGCGGGCTCGAATCCGGCTCGCGGCCCCCCGCTGCATGCCAGTCCCCACTCTCTCTCTGTCTCCCCATTTCACTCTCTGTCCTGTCAATAAAGGCAAAAAGCCCATACAAATAATCTTTAAAAAAAAAAAGAAAAGAATTTCGACCACGTTATGTGAACTTCGTACACTCGAACCCTCGGAGAAAAAGTATCATTCCTGTGGGCTCCAGCCGACTGCACTTGCCTGAGAAGGACTAAATGCACAAACCTGCTATATTTAAATATCCCATGGAGAGAGACTCTCACTGCAGCCTGTTATATTTTGTTCTGAAAATGTCGGCGTGCAGCCTCGTTCTGTGGACGATAAATGAGGTGCAGACTGATAAAGGAGGAAATACAGTGAGTGCTGGATGGAGCGGTGAGTGACAACAACTCCGTCCACATTTAAGAGTTCTGTTTGTGGTAGAAACACTAGGGTCTAGGTATCATGTCTGAAGGGTTACTGTTAGTTCCAAAGGTACCATACTGAAAGTGTTTGGTGGAAACTGGGCTTATAATGACCCACTGCAGCAGCACAATGCTGCCATTGTTTGGTTCTGTGTAAAAATGCAAATGAGGTGTAAGAAAGGGACTTCATAGCAGCCCTATATTGCGATCTCTGTGTTAAAAGGGCTAAAGCCACACAATTACACAAAGAAACGGACCACACAAGGCAGTGGTAGACCAGCAGCTCTGACGCGCAGTGCGGTAAAATTCCTGTTTCTGTCAATAGAGTTTGGCTTTGAGGAGAGCATAGCGTCACTGTCCGATGAAAAACACTCTCCACTTTTGACGATTTTGAATTTCTACAGTGCATGGAGTGTCCATAATATTCTTTAGCAACCGTTAGCGTTGGATATCCAAATGACCAATGGAAAGACGTCTATTACATCATCTATTCAACACGTATCTCCATTGGCTGTCAGAAGTGTCCATCAAAGCACGTAGAAAGTCAAAATCGTCAAAAGTGGAGATACGTGTTTTTCATCAGACAGCGACGATAGATAGGTTTCATGGTCCTTTCAGTTTCCCTGTCAGAAAGGGCTGTCTGTTTGGGAAGTATGGAGCATATAACTGGATAAATGTGACTTGGATTATTCTGCAGAAGTATGTGTGGTCATCTAGGACTTCAATTCATCAAGGATTTTCTCTGTTTTTGGATTCTTCATTCACCAGAGGCAGTTGAGGAAGATTTCTTAACAGATTTACTTTAACACATGGTCAAGATCATTTGGGGGGTGAAGTATTTCTTTTAAACTGCTAATTCGTCTGTACGATCAGGCTGACTCAGACTCCCTCCTGTAGTGCACACCACCACAGTCGGCTGTACTCTGTGTCACCTCTGAAACCTTTCCAAATAAATCATTTTCTATCTCTTTGGGGAGGGCTCGGACATAACCATCTGTATTTTAGTAAATCCATATTTTTGATCTACTTCTCTGCTATTATTCAGTAGGCATCAAATCAATACCTCTCTGGGCGACACACTGGCAACATAATTGCTGGTGCTCCTGTTCACAGTCGACTAAATGCTAAATGAGACCATAAAGATGAAGTACAGGATACCGAAGGAAGGCACAACAAAGCATTCACTGTACACAAGCACATAGATTTATTTATACAAATATAGTATGTATAACAATTGCATATCAACAGTTTGTTGTCTTTTTTTATCTTTACGGTAAGTACAGGACCATCAGCTTCAAAAATGTAAGTCAATTAAGAAAGAGTACCTGTGATTTAAAGATACAAAAAGGGATCTGTTGTATTGAGATGTTCTGCTTGATGAGTGAGTGAATATCCTTTGAGCCCTGAGCCCAGAGGTCACCTAATGCAAAAGATCTGGCATTAGGTGACCTCAGTGCTCACAGGTTGTTTATGAAATGGGAATATCTGGCAGCGTGACACATGGATTTCATTCTGCTGGACTTGTGCAATTAGATGTGATGTAGATCAGACGGGATTAAAGATGGAGATGATCATTTTCTGTAAATCCATAAAGGAATAATCGGCAACATTTTCATGAAAACTTAATAACTTCATGACAGCTTATCATTCTCTGTTCTTAACACACAGCTGGGGAATAAAAATCCTCCGGCATATAGGAAGTAATGTTATGTTTTGGATTTATGCAGCTGGCTAAGAGGAACAATATCATATCGCGTCATATTATTGGGGTATAACACATGCGCAGTAAAATCTGGTCTGTACTTGCTGAGACGCTCAATAGCTGGTGCACGATCACAGAACATGGGGACAATTCATTTGTTTCATTGAGGCATCCGCTGCCGGCCTTGGGTCAGAATATCCTCCTGAGACCCTCATATGAGGACATCACATTTTGGATTTACTTGACCTTATACTTCATTCTACTTATCTTAGACCTGTTGTCCTCTTTTGTGGACACTTTTTTGTGCCATCTAGTGGCAGTAAGAGCACAATACACTAATCCATGTAAAAACAAGATGGCAGCCATCTCTGCCAAGTCAGTTTGCAGCCGATCCCGACACAGAAGTGGACAAAGTCCAGAACCTGATCACATTTTATGGTTGAAACTTGTTTATTTATTGGGACTTAAAATGCAAATCAAAGAAAAGTCTGGGCCTCAGGAGGATATATTTTATACAAAAAATAAAGGTATGAGGAAAGCAGACCATGTCATTAAATTAATCTGCAAGTCATGAGTGGACTTACTTGGTGTGAGACACCCTTAAATTTAATGTCAATTCGCAATAAAACTCAAGTCTTTTTATCTGGTGTCATGCCATTTTTCCAACGGCCCAAAATTTCAAAACCCCATTAGTCCAAGAAATGTCCCATTGGACTGAAAGCCCATTTCTACAATAGTGTGTTATTCCAACAACAAAGGCCCATTGCATTTGTCCCATAGTCCAGTTTCTCCAAAAATACACCAATCCCAGGTGTTTCTACTGACCCTGCGTAGAGTTTCCCAGCTGAATTTGAGCCACCAAATCTGGGTGTTTCTCACCGACCTGTCCCTGGTGCCTCCAAACTTGGATGTTTGAGCCAAAACATAACCATAACTAAGCATTTTTGTACCTAAACCTAACTACAAATATAATGCATTTATGGTTTCCAGATGTATACACTGCAAATGTGCGTTTGTTTTTGGGATAATGGGCTGTTGGAAAAATAAGCTGTCTAAATGGACATGGTTTAGACTGATGGGGCTTCGGTCTTTTGGGCTGTCAGAACAATGGGCAATCCCCTATTTTTCGTCCTCATAGGAACAATAGCCTTATTGTAGGTTTCTATTTGAAAACTTTTGCTTTTTATATTGGCCGCCATCCATTCGAAAAAAGTTCTGTCAGACTGAGCGCACCCAAAGAGCGCCTGAACAGCACCATCCCTTTATTTCTGCTAGAACCCTCCAACATCTCTGCTGCAGTTAGACTGTGCATGTGCAACACAGTCTCACAGACATTGTGAAATGGACACAACCTCTTAACAAGGTATTAAGTGGTGGTGGGCATGAGATGTGCTGCGTGAAAACAATGCCAATGCAAAGTCTATTAAGAACTATCTTAGTTAGGTTAGGGAGAGAAAACACCTGGTTTTGTTTAGAGAACAAACAAATGCGTTAAGGAAATGATCGTGGTTTTGGTTAAAATATCTATGCACTGAATTAAGTGACATAAACTTTCATACTTTATGTAGTGACGTAAAGTCCGTAAAGTCACGTACTTATGTTGACTTTTGGTGTAACATTAGACACAAACAGCAGTCTCCTGGTTGAAAGTCTGTTTCTGTGACACATCCAATACCCCTCCCAGCTGCCCTATGTGACTTTCTCATTCTTTATACTTAAATTCCCTCTTCAGACACATTTTAAAATACTGAAACTAATATTTTACTTCACGTGGTTTGCCCACATAATAGTTAAAAAAAAAACACTCTGTAAAGGGGCCTGAAGCAGATCTGCTCTTTCTCCCTCAGTGAGAATTGTTGTGCATCAAAATGGCTACTATTAGCGTTACAGGAAACATTGGAGAGATTTAGCCCTAAATGTTTGAGCCTCAGTCAGACTCAGACTCAGACGAGGAGTCTGTTGTGCACCAAAGTTAGTGACTAGCAGATGTATCAGGATGCTACGTGTAGTTAGCATCTTATTTCTGTTGTTTCTTAGCTTGTTAGCTTGTAGGCTAACTGGAGGTGGCTGACTGAGCATTAGTGTTTATGAAACATACAATACCATCTGCTGCAGTAGGGTTTATTGGTTGACAGTGAAAGGAAACTCCAGGACTCAGTTTACATCCAAAAACCGCTCATTCAAACATGTTTGCTGTCAAAACTTTAGCTATGCTAACGTTAAATCCGGACCCTGTACTGATGAGTCTGCTGACAGCTGGAAGTTTTTTAGGTTTTGTTGCTGTTGTTGTGTCAAAGTCTGTTCCCTGTCGATATGTGTTTCCTGTATTAGACCGGCTTAGAAAGGCTTTCATATTCATGACGTAGCTAATTTAGCTTGCCCAGCAGATTTTAGGGAAGCACACAGACATCGCCTCCTTCAGTAGAGGAATGTGAAAACACCTCTCTAGTGACAAACTTTGCACTGATACAGCTCAGTATAGTCAAGGTCAGACATTTTAGGGGACATATACAAAAGAAACACTTTTATTTAGCAAAGGGGGGCTTAAATTTGTGTATCTACCACAAGAAAAGATCCTCACTGACTTTGTGTTAACATTGTTTTCTTGTTACCAGCACATCATTTTAGAATGTTGTGCCCGCCACCATGTAATGCGTTGTTAGAACTTTGTGTTCCTTTCATGTATTTCCATGAGACGAGGCTGGCATGTGTCATACTCCCTGTATCATGTACCGTGTCCTAGCCTTGATTTAATAGCACTGGGATTTGTTTATGCCAAGTAGAAGCAGAAAAAGAGGTAAAGCCTGAACGGTTGAATAAACGAAGAAAAGAGCACCACCTACAAAAAATGAAAAAAGTCAGAAAAAACAAGAAGGTATCAGAGACACAAAGAAGTGATCTCCGGGAAGTGAAGTGCAAAACAAACACAACAAGGAGCGCTTAGCACCGAAGATGGAAAGAAAAGTAAACGTGGAGGATAACCACTTTAGCTTAAAAACAGATTTCCCTTACAGGTACGGAGGAAAAAAGAAGGCGAAACATTCCACTCAGTCTCATAACTTCTCAAAAATGATTGTCTGAACAGAAACGCAGGGAACAGATCTACATGTGCTAGTATTCAGCTGTTAATACAATGAATAGATTTTTAAATAATAATAATAATAATCTGCACGTCTTAGAAAGAACATATAATATTTAAAAGGAACAATAAAACTTTATGTTAAATCTCTGATTTCATGAACTATAAAATAGACAAGTCTGAAAAATAAACGTAATTCTTTGATTTTTAATTCCGCTCTGCTCAAATGAAAACTGGTGACATTCTGTTTGTCTGTCGGGACACAGTTAACATTTCCGAGGGTCAGTTTGAACCTTGTTAAAATCTCTCGGTGACATATAATTTCTGGATAAATCTCAGTCGGGAGTAGCTTACAAAGTCTGTCAATAATTATTGCACATTAATTATTCATGCCACCTGTAAATCAATAATCTCTTTAAATGGCACAGAGGATAGATTTGGACACAGAAGCTGCCTTACAGTACATAAGACCCAGTTTTGCTTTACAGTGATTTACATGTGCACCTATCCCCTAAACTCTGTATATAATGCATGGATCCGATCATGAATTTAGTGGCGAAATGTAAAAACTGAAGAATGTGTGTTATTGCTAAACCTACAAGATACAAAAATCTTCTCCTGCTACAATATAGAAGGTAAAAAAGAGTTCACGTTTATCCAAAACAGGACGAGTTTGACACACACAGAAAGAAACCGATGGTCATTCATACAGAGACACGAGCACCAGTTGAAGAATCAATAGAAACACCACTGTACAAATGATATCTATGGCAAAATGGCAAAGGTGCCACAACGGTGTAATGGATGTCGGTAAGCAATCAAAAATGGATGACTGTAAACAAAACAACAAACACAAGATAAAGGGGAGAATCAATAAGAGTCACAACCGGGGGGGGGGGAGAACAACTTATAAAAGGGAATACAAAGTTAAAATGGACGACGTTCAGTGCTAGCCTCCCTCATACTTGTTTTTCGAAGCACCAATTTCGGGACAAACGGCTCTCTTTGTTTTTGCTCAGTAATCGGTGGTACACTGGAAGGGAGAGAGTTAAGTAAAAGAGTCTTCCACTTGTTGGTTTCCTCCACGACGGAGAGATTCCTTTGGGATCTTCAACAATGAACAGGTGGCCTTTGAGATCCACCTCTTCGCTCTCCTTCACTTCTTCTTCTTTTGGAACAACCTGTAGATCATGAAAAGGAGAAACAAGCTGAGAGCGATGCCTTAAAGCTTCCTGACATTTCAGACTAATAGAAACTTGATTTTTACAAAGACTAACGGTGCTTTCAGACCAATAGTTGTCTTGCTTTGTTGTATAACTCCCTAGAGTTGGTTCGTGTTCTCACGGCAGCATTTACAAGCGGACCAGATCAAATGCCTGCATGAGAAAGCTGCTCTTGATTGGTCAGAATTTCCATGTGGGAAAATCCAGGAAGTAAACCAAACGTAGAAGAAGAGTACACTTGCAAGATAATGTGACACTTTCTAATGTCACAATGGAGGGACAACTACGCAGGTTGATTTTAGCGCTGCTCATCGTGGACTATATTGCTGTCATTGTTCATTTTAGTCAAACCATACAGTTTGAAAACGAGGCGCGGCTCCAACTAGAAAACAATGTTTTGATGCATTGGATGTGCTGAATGTGCATATTAAGGCAGTACAGGAGGAGGTTCACATTAATAATCCTCCAGGACTGTAACATGCTCATGTTTAACCCAAACAATGTGTCATGTGACTGCAGTTGGTTCACATCCAGGTCGGAACACGTTCTCACCACAAACGAACCGCACCGGAGTTCGTTTGTAACCAGACTGAGACCACCTCTTCAAGAAGGTCTTGGTCCGGTTGTTTTGCTGCGCACCTGAGTGTGATTGCTGTGTTCACACCTGCCCAAATGAACCACACTTAGGGGGCAAATGAACTTGAGTTCAACCGAACCGAACTCTCAAGCTTTTAAGGTAGTCTTTGGCCATCACACTACCCTACATTTCAAGCCAAATACAAGGAAGCCACAAAGCTATTCCTGAATTACCTCCATCAAGGAGGTCCTGAATTTGGTTTGGTTTGTGTGTTGGTCTTATTGTAACCAGGACTATGGAAAAACCCACAAGCCCAATATTAATGAAACTTGCATGGGCCAAGGAAGAACCCCTTAAATTTTGGAGTGGATCCAAATCATGGGGCTTTCCCCCTATGAAATATATGTAATTCAGGCCAGGTTTGGACAAAGTTCTCACCTCAGACATCACAGGCAAACTTAGAGGTGTCTGAGCTGAAATGGTGACGGCTAGCAGTGCAGTGCTAACAGATCTACCAGTGTTAATGCCGGTTAGCTCACAGTGACTATGGCGACCTGGGGATTGGGGAGGGTGGGCCAGAAAGTGGTGCTTCCGTAGTGACCCACTCCTGTCATCCAGTTGGAACCGCATTATCAGTGATGCTAACAGCCCAACAGTACTAACAACAGCAGGTGCTTGTATCGTCCCATATGAGCAACTGTCAAAGAAAGACCAATATTCATCTCTGCACCAATCCCATGTATGTCCCCAAAGGGATGGTTGGGATAACTTGCAGGTGTTGTAGTGGGTATAAGGTTGCACGAAATTATGGAAGTGCACGTCAGGCATCAATTCGAAAGAGAAATTCAGCTCCTATACATGTAACCTGAACTACCTCATATGTCTGAAACCTACAAATGTAACATATCCATGGTGTGCAGAAATGAACAACGCCAACATTTTATTCTGTCGACTGTGCGTTAGAGCTAAAGTGTTCTGTAATTAGAGGACAAATTTTTGCGGGCATTTGTCAGGGCAGCTGTGTTACTCGCAACGCTAGAGTGCGGAGACAATGTTGGCCACTGTAGCATGGGTCATTTAATAACTCTGTTCATTGTGTAACACAGACACAGGGAGCATTTATGCAAGAGAGACCCTGTGAATGCGGTGTTTTACTACAGTTAGAAGGAGGTTATGCTGCTGCCTTGCAATAAATTGCTGAAAGACAAACCCTGGGAACCAAAGCACGACGCAGAGTTATACCCACCACAGGCTCTAAATAAAAGTGGGGTGATAGTTTTTCAGACTACAGCAGTAATTCTTTGATGAAGCCAGACAAGGTAGTAAAACCAAAAAGTTATATTGCCTCAGAACTTATGATAATTTATGTAGGGTTTTGTTGATGTCGTTTGGGTGACTAAATGCTGCATATATATGCAGCGTCTCCTGCAGCTTTTTTTTTTTTTTTTTGTTATAGATATTTTTTGGGCGTTTTAGCCTTTAATTGATAGGATAGCTTAAGCGTGAAGAGGGAGAGAGAGAGAGGGAAGGACATGCAACAAATGGCCACAGGCTGGAGTCGAACCCGGGCCGCTGCGGCAACAGCCTTGTACATGGGGCGTCTGCGCTACCACTAAGCCACCGACGCCCCTCCTGCAGCTTTTTAATGTAGAGGTGGGTCGCCTTGCCTAAAATACCCCAATTAAAACACTTTTATAAACTAACACATTAACTTTCAGGAGCATTTCTTATATATTCATTCTTATTCATCTACTCATTATTGATCGGGAGATTAAAGCCGTCTTCAAAACCTCACTTCAGCTGTAATGTAAGGCGTTTGTATTTGGACAAAGAGACACAAAGACACAAAGACGGATGAATACCAGGCAAACCAGCGGCTTATGTTGCATTCTTGTCTACTTGTGCGTGTCACTTGGTCAGCAGCCTCTTGGCCGACAAAGCAAATCTCTGTGGTCAGCATGCCTGCATTGATAAAACATGATCCCTGCTCTGTTCCCTGTCTGTAGCTCCACCATAACACACTGTTACAAGCTCCCAAATACCTTCCCAAGCTGCGCTGTGCCAAGTGCAAGACAAGAGATATGCTTGGGGGATTTAGCATCAAACGGGCAGTGACACAGAGATCTTGGACACATGCCCGCCTCCAATACGTCGGGGAATCGCTTAAATAATTCGAAAGGCCTGGGCAGAATTAAGCGTAGCAGGATATGATTTAGCTTAATGGTGTGATTAGTGTCTGAAAAGTTTCTTCTTGCTTTTAAGTTTTGCTATTTTCACACAGTGAAAGTGTGCTTCAGTTTGACATGCAGCACGGAGCTTTGTTCTAAATTTGGACTGTGAAAATATTGTCCAAAGCAGAGGTGTGTGTGCAGACCCTCACTCCAGTTGTAGCTTCCAAGTTAACAGCATTGCAAGCCGTATCTACTTCTCGGCGTACCTGCAGAGCATGAGCCACAGATGTAATCAGTTTAAGCTTGAATAATTTACAGCCTTTACAACAGAATCACTGGCAGAACACAGCAGAGGCAGTAAAGTTTGCACAGAGGATACCGGCTGCTGAGTTTGCAAAAGATACCACTGAGGTTTAAAGGCTCCTTGCTGGGATGTAAATGTCTGCTACCTGCACACGAGCCAATATAAGTGGTTTCAAGGCAAAGCAGAGCATGGCGAATACAACTCAAAAGGAGAGCTGAGCCTGCTTCCACTTCATTTCTCTCCACCTATATTCCTCTGTAGCCGTATGCTTGTAAAATATGTTAGTTTTGACACTTGGAGCAGCTGAACACTCAGGACACATTCACAACAACACGTTTTCATTTTAAAACGGCATTTTATAACGAAAACAATCTTTGTATATGCAAGCAGAAATAATCTCTGTCCACACTATCACACATGAAAACACATCACATGACCATTCATGTACACAGGACATGCATGTGTGGATGTGCACAGGATGCAGATTGTCTGATCTTGGTTGCTTAGTTACAGAAAATAGTGAGACCAGAAATTTCTTTGCTGGGACCAACGACGAGATGGAACTGTTAGTGAAAGTAACACGAGTGTAAGGTGATCTAGATTAGTGGTTCCCAACTGGTCCAGCCATGGGGTCCAGATTTCTCCTTAATCATTAGTTCGAGGTCCACACAGTTTCATACAGTCAGCCTCTTACTTGCATTTGGCCATGTTGTTGAGGTAGTTTGCTGTCTCTGTCAAGTAGCTGTCTGTTGTTCACTCACACTACAGCAGGAAACGGCACTTCAAAAAAAAGCTCTGTGCTGGATATTCATTGTACTTCAAAATAAAGTGTATTTTGCATTCATGAGACTGAGATAAACGAAAGGTCACAGTGACCTTAAAGGAGAACTATTATGCTTTTCCTCTTTTCTGACCTATAAATGTTGTTACAATGTTGCATACTCATGTTAAACGATGCCAACGCGTCAAATAATGAGGTTCGTGCATTTGGAAGTGAGCCCTGCACATTGTGTTTTACAGTCTTTTTTTAAACAGTGTAGTCCGTGTGACGTTAATGGGTGCCGAACTTACTTATATGGGCATGCCCAGGCATGCCGGCAGCACTCTGTAGCCCTTCGGAAGTCCTCAGCAGTGTGACCAATCACAGCGGAGTGGGCTCAGCGGAAGGTGACGGCCGGGGGGTGGAGTAAATTACACAGACCGTTTTTGCGGGATGCAGGAAATACAAGGAAGGAGTGCAGCGAGAGGCACAGCGTCCTGAAGATCTACAAAGCTTTGTGTGCAGGTAATCGTGTGTAGCTGCTCTATAGGAGTCCAGAAATCAAATACAGAGGCCTGAAAATGAGTATAATAGGTCCTCTTTAACCTTCGACCACAAAATTCTAATAAGTCCATTGTTAAGTCTAAGTGGACATTTGTGCCAAATTTGAAGAAATTCCCTCAAGGTATTCTTGAAATATCACGTTCACAAGAATGAGACAGATGAGGTCAAGGCGACCTTGACCCCTTGACCACTAAAATCTAAACAGTTTATCACCGAGTCCAAGTGGACATTTTGTCAATTTTGAAGAAATTCCCTCAAGACCTTTATAAGATATTGTGTTTACAAGAATGAGATGCAGACAAGGTCACAGTGACCTTGACCTTTGACCACTGAAATCTAAACAGTTCATCATTGAGTCGTAGTGGACATTTGTGCCAATTCTGAAGAACTTCCCTCAAGACCAAGATAAACGCAAGGTCACAGTGACCTTGACCTTTGACCACCAAATTCTAACAAGTTTGTCCTTCAGTCAAAGTTGACGTTTGTGCCAAGTTGAAGCAAAAATCTCCTTAAGTGTTCTTGAGATATTACGTTCACAAGAATGGGACAGAAGAATAACCTGTAAACATATTGCATTCTGACTACGGCTGTTGCGTGCACAGAGGCATAAAAAAGGTTACAAAGATTGGTGTACAATAATAAATATACATAGATTATAAAAGGTTTGTACAGTAAATAAGATTTCTGAAGAAATTTTGAAGATGATTAGAATTCTGCCAGCAGCGTATTCTGACAGAAAAAGTCAGGTCACCTTGAAATTGGGACAGCTGGGAGGTCTAGGTCTGAGGCGTTGCACGTGCTCATGAAGAAAATGACAAAAAGGTGATACCGTTTGTGGATATCTGCATCCACTGTCCACTCCTAACTTACACTTACACTTGAATATTTCATCATTATTGTAGTTGTGGGTAATATAGATGTTGAGGAAGCAGTTTGACATTTCTGGGAAATACACTTATTTGCTTTCTGGCCAAGAGTTTGATATGAGGATCAATACCACTCTCAAATCTGTCTACTAAATATGAAGCTACAGCCAGGGGACAGATAGCTTGGCTTTGCATAATGACAGGAAGTGGGGGGGAAACAGTTCGCCTGGCTCTGCCCAAAAATAAAAAAATGAACCTACCAGCACTTCTAGAGCTTACTAAGCACATGTATTTATATATTAACAGACTAATGCAGATTTCCATGCTGAAAAAAACTACACAAACTGTTTTTACAATTCTGTTTGAACAGAGCGACCTGTTATCCTCCGCTATCAGTCTTTAAGCTAAGCTAAGCTAACTGCCTGCTGACTATAGCTCCATTATTAGCATCCATCTATGAAAGTGACACCGATATTTTCATCTAACTCTCAGAAAGACAGTAAATAAGCGCACACAGCTCTTAACATGGAGGTGGCTGAGCAGGCAGCTAGCAGCTAATGGTGCTAGCAGCTAATGCCGCTTAAAGTACAAACAGTGCTAACAATGGCAACAATGCTGACGGAGCTAACAGTGTTAAGCTTGGGGGAGGTTGTAGGCTTGGCGTTACGTTTCCATGACAATGACGTCCCGCCACCGTGAGTCGAGACTGCATTATCAGCGATAACCGCCATATAAGCTCAGTGCAGAGTGGCAGCTCTTAGGGACATACACACAGAGGCTCACATGCGCTAACATGCACATGCGGTGGGACTGTCTACCACAACAAAATGGAGAGGCTCAGATTACAACATGCACAGAGGTCTCGTGACGTCACTCTCTGCTCTGGACGCCATGCATTATTCCTCCATATATTTACACAGCAAATAGCTGTTTGCTGCCATATTCATAGTCTGAATGTCTTATATTGCTGCTTTAAATCTTGAGATTGGCTTTTCATTCATGCCATGCCTCTTCCTCTCTGCCTTACCTTGTGCTCCTGGTGTCCGCCGCCCCCCCACCCCTCACCCTTAAAGCAATGAAGCGCCTCACCTACGACATGTGGTTCTGCTGCGAGGCCAGGTTCTGCTGTTGTTGCTGCTGCATGAGGAGCTGCTGCTGCTGGCGCCGCCGGGCCGTGCGGAGCTTCTCGAAGCGAGCCTCCATCTCCTCCAGCACTTTGGGGGTGTAGCGAACCACCAGCTTCACACTGTCCTTGGCCGCCTTCAGCAGCTCCACTGCTTTCTCGTGGTGCTCGCCTTCCACGCTCTACAGGGGGTTTAGAGACAGAGGGTGTGGGATTTTAAGGGGAAGCTGATTTGAATATAGCCTTAAAAATAGTAACTCCTCTTAGGGAGAAAAAGGATATTTCCTTCATTTTTAATACCCTGTGATATTATGTGAAAACCAGCAGGCTTACAGTCAGAGTTATTCAAGTCCCTCTTGCAGTTGGAGAAGTGTTTCTGCTCCGTACTCAAGACATGTGCAGCACTTTGATCTCAACAGCTCTCCTGACTGTTGACTCTCATCTCAGACTGGAAATTAAACAGTGCTCCATCTTGTGACACGTTGCCAAAAATATTTCAGTTGAGGATATATCTTTCTGGGAGCAGGCTTAAATAATAAATAAGGACAGAAAATTGTACCCGCACACTCCCTCCGTTCCACACCAGCTGTATCAAAATGTTAAGTGTGGTTAGACCTACCACGCCATTGACAGAAAGGAGCTGATCCCCTCGCTTTAGGCCGCCGTGCCTCTCGGCTACGCCTCCGGGGATGATGCGGGAGATGTAGATAGGTGAGTTCTGCTCCTTGCCGCCCATCACATTGAAACCGAGTCCTTCCTCCGTCTTGGGTAGCTCCACCACCCGCGGATGGGAGTGACCTTCACTGGCTGCGAAGGCTGCAACTGTGGCCTAAGAGAAGATAAGCAAGATGGGATTTGTTAGGCTTCAGCCACACTAACACGTTTTTGTTTTAAAGCCCATAACTTTCACTACTTGTAATGTCCACACTACTCCAGTGTTTTCAGACATTACAAAACACATCTGACCCCATTTTAGTTTGAAAACGAGATAGATAAGGTTAGGTTTAGGAAAGTGAAGTTATGTAGGTTAGGTTTTGGAAAGTTATGTAGGTTAGGCTGACAAAACATAAGTTTACGTGCTTTGTGACGTACTTAATGTAAAGTTATGTAGGTTAGGTTTAGGAAAGTTATGTAGGTTAGGCTGACAAAACGTAAGTTTACGTGCTTTGTAACGTACTTAATGTAAAGTTACGTAGGTTAGGTTTTGGAAAGTTGTGTAGGTTAGGCTGACAAAACCTAAGTTTACGTGCTTTGTAACATACTTAATGTAAAGTTATGTAGGTTAGGTTTTGGAAAGTTATGTAGGTTAGGCTGACAAAACGTAAGTTTACATGCTTTGTAACGTACTTAATGTAGATTAGGCTTATGAAAAATAACATGGCTGGGCATTATCACATTATCTACTTAACGTAAAGTTATGTGTTTTGTAACGTACTTAACGTGAAGTTAAGGTTAGATTTAGGAAAGTTATGTACATAAGGCCTAGGAAAAAAACATGGCTGGGCATTGTCACCTTATCTACTTAATGTAAAGTTACATACTTTGTAACATACTTAATGTAAGATTAAGGTTAGGTTTAGAAACGTAAAGTTACGTAGGTTAGGCTTAGGAAAAGAAACATGGCTGTGGGTCATCACATTACCTTCTTAATGTAAAGTTACATACTTTGTTACGTACTTAATGCAAAGTTGAGTTGAGGTTTAGAAAAGTAAAGTTTAGGAGGTAGGTTTAGGAAAGGTACGTAGGTTTACACCTAGGAAAAAAAACATGGCTGGGCATTGTCACGTTACCTATTTAGCGTAAAGTTACGTACTTTGTAATGTACTAAAAGTAAAATTAAGGTTAGGTATAGTATAGTAAAGTTACGTACGTTAGGTTTAGGAAAGTTATGAAGATTAGGCCTAGGAAAAGAAAAATGGTTGGGTGTCTTCATCTTACATGTACTTTGTGATGTAGTTAACGTAAAGTTAAGTTTAGGTTTAGGAAAGATTTGTTGGTTAGGCCTTGAAAAAAACGCATCTCGGCATTGTCATGTTATCTACTTAACGTGAAGTTAGACACTTTACTGTACTTAAAGTTAAGTTAAGGTTAGGTTTAGGAGAGTAAAGTTATGTAGGTTAGGTTTAAGAAAGTCACGTGGGTTAGGCTTAGGGCTTAGGAAAAGAAACATGGTTGGGCGTTATCACATTACCTACTTACTATAAATTTAACATTAGGTTTAGGAGAAGAAACATGGTGATGACATACCTTTAAAATAACTTAAAGTTCACTTTGTTTCACACGGGGCATAAACACCACTCTCATGGGAGAAAGTCCTATGTTTGTTTGACCCATCGACCATCTCAACCTGCTTCCTTACATGGACTTACAGCAAATTGGTCATGTGATCACAGCCTTCCTGATTACATAGGTGATATACAAATCACTGTGATCATGATTATGTATGTTATACACATTCTGCTGCATTACTTTTTCGTAGGTATTCATCCGAACAGTGCATGAAAACAGCCTGTGACAGCAGTTGTCTTGTCAGTGTCTTGATGTTAGAGGAATACAGCAAGTCTTGCAATCTGCACTGGCTTCTCATCTTCTTCATTACACTCACAAGGAATGCAAAGGAGGAAACCAATTTAAAAAGTAGTACAAAATGATGGTGGAGGTGGGAATATAATATGAACCTCTGCTGCACCTTCTCATTTCAGTGAGGAGGGCTTTAACAAAGCGTTAGGATTTAGTCATGGCCGGGGGATTTAGACTCCACATGAGAAGTTCTCCGGCTTTCTAAGCACATGGATTAACACATCCAAGTTCACACTGGAGAAGCAGCCAGACAACTTTCACCCTCTGTATCTCTACCAGCTGGTTGATGTTGCTCGCTGGCTGTGGGGTTTCTTTGAACCCCGAGCTCCTTGCTCCTTGTGCGTTCAGAACAAAGCACCCAGGAGCTTGTTAGCCGAGGCTGGGAAAGCTAATGGCAGATGCACAGAGAAAGAGACACCTCGTGCCCACTGATCCACAGATGCATTGCCACAGGTGCCTCGCTGTCAAGTCGGCATCATTTATGATATGTGAGGTAGATCGAGAGAAGGGAGGATGAAAAAAGTAGAGGAGGGGAGGCTCTGTCAGAAGCTTTTGCAGATGTGTATCCAAATTCCCCAGCAGCAGGCGGGTATCTTGGCACTTTGAGGTCTTTGACGCTCCCTCCAGGCAGCATCCCCATCTCTACTCTCTCTTCCATATTCATATGCATCTTCATATATACGCATTCATTTCTGCTCATTCTACCACTGCCTGTTTTAATCTGCTTGTTGTATTCTCCCAACTTCCCCCCTCTCCCTCCCTTTTCTCTCTCTCTCTCTGTCCTCCTTCTTCTTCTCTTCCTCCCTCTCTCACTGTCCCATTGTGAAGCTAAAAGGCAGCTCCTCAGCATGCATACCGTCGCCTCCCAGGCCTCACAGCACATCGACCTTCACAACTTTATCTGGGTTTCTGCAAACGAAAAAACAATCTGGCAGATGGCCGGCGCCTCTCAAACACAGGGGAGGCCTTTCAAATAAAAAGCTTGCTGGAGGATACTTTCTCGGTAACAGCACCGTACAGTGGAAGTATGACTTAATATATCCAAAGTCACTTGATCATCCACTCCCTTTTTTTTTTTTTTTACCTCTGGAGCCCATTTTTACCTCTCAGTCCCTGTCTCCATTAAGATCAGTAATAAGGGCCTCGAGCCAGGAATTAGAGGCTGAATTGATTTAATTAATGAAGCAATCAAAGAGAATCGAGTTGTTCAGGTGAAACACAAATCTCAACTGTCGGGAGATTTACCGTCTCACTAAGTAAAGTACTCGAGAGGCAGATGAGCAGCATATTTCACGCGTTTCGTCATTATTACCGCAGCAGCTTATAGACTTAATTTTCAATACCGTCGCTAAAGTATGCATCTTTTTCCCTTTCAGACTATATGTGATACTAATTGAATGCAATTGGCGCCGTGTCCTGGCGTAGTGAGCACCTCCTGAGAGAGTAAAAAAACTTTTAAAAACCTCCAGTGCTCCCAGTTGACAGTGTCCCCACAGCAAAGCCAGCTCAGGCCATTAGCCGTGTGTTTAATTGCCCAGTGGATATGCAATTTTAATACAGATTTAAGGAGCAGTAACTTCTCAAAGTTTTGGGCGAAGAGAAAAAAGTAGGCAGGAGTTTTAAAGCTGCTTAAATCATGTCTTCATGGTTGCTTCAGGCTCAGAAAAAAGAGACAGACACTTCTTTTTTTCCAGCTTATCCATCACAGTTTCTTTGTGGGGTGAAATAACTATAAAGATGTTATTGTGCAGATCTCACGTCGGAGCCTGCTTGACAAATGACGGGAGATATTTCAAATGCAGTAGGAGATAAGTAATTGGAGGAAATCAATAAAATTGATTTTGTTGACAGCAAATCTTTCCTTAAAAAAGTCTCTTTTTGTTTTGTTTATAGTTTGACATTGTGAGAAATACGATTAGTCGCTGAAGAGTGAAATGAGAATATTGACACCGCTCTGATGTCTGTGCATGAAGTATGAAGCTGGAGCATGGATTCATATAAAGAACTGGATACAGCGTTTGAGGCCAGGCCCCGTTCATTGCTATGGAAGTTGCTCAGTGGTGCATGAAGCCACTGTTTGTTTGTTTTTTGTATTCTTGATCCTCCCTGGTGCTACAAATATTTTCCCTTAAGCCTCCCTGAGTGACGGGGGAAATGCATGACACTCTACCAAAGTTATTAGAAAATACGAATACATAAATATACAGCAGAGTGATGAAAACTACCTTAAATGACAGAAACCATCTTTGGGAAACATGTATTTGATGTGTACTTTGAGTTTTTAGTTTTGCCCACATGGGGAGGGTGGGCATTACGACCTATACGGCAGCCAGCCACCAGGGGGCGATCAAGATGTTTCGGCTTCACTTTTGGGGAGCTGTCATGTCGCTCATCTTTATATACAGTCTATAGCAATGGTTCCCAACTGGTCCAGCCACAGGGTCCAGATTTACGCTTAGTCATTAGTTAAAGGTCCACACAGTCAAATACATTCAGCATCATACTTGAATTTGCGCCTGTCTTCAAGCTAGTTAGCTATCTTGGTCAAGTAGCTGTCTGAAATTCACTGTACGTTTCGGAGTCACTTGTGGTCCATTCTGAACTTTTGGACTGCGACCAACCAGTTCCCTGGTCTAAAGCTTGCCGTAGCCGTTTACGCTAACTGTTAAGCTAACCACCTCCTGTTATCCCTTTGCTGCTAAAGTCACATAGGTCTTGACCTAATCTTGTTTTCATACTTTTGAAACTTAGAAATGCTTCAGTCATAGCGGCAGTGTTGCCAGCTTAGTGACTTTGTCACTATATTTAGTGACTTTTCAGACCCCTCTAGCGACTCTTTCTCAAAAAAGCGACTAGCGACAAATCTAGTGACTTTTTCTGATGTTATTTGAGACTTTTGGAGACTCTGACGTGAAAGCACGTATCATTCTTATTCTTCTCAACAAGGAGCGGATGCTGCCGTGGGGCCCTCCCTCGCCCCAAAGCACTCACAGGCGGCCCAGTCCTCCCTCCCAGCAGCAGTCAGAGCAGGAGATGTTAACCCCTCCACGTCCAGACTGCGAGTGAATCGTGCATGCGCGGAACCGCCGCTGGCTGATCCCGACCTGGTTTACAGTCAGGGTGGGATGTAAATGTAAAATTTTCTTTGTCTAATATAAATCACTGAAAGAAGGTTCATTTGTAGTTCTAAACATATTCAGGGTGTTTTTTACTCAGTTTTTGTCTCTCCCACGACGCTATTCCTCTCTTCTACAGTGTCCATTACAATTACATGCATATGGACAATTATGCAAATTAGGCGATGATGTCAGCCAATAGCTCCTTTTCTTACTGAGGAGTTGGCAACAGTGTATAGCGGTCTCTTTTCTTCTTTGATCCGTGCTTGCAACTAGCAACACAGAGGTGGCATCTTTTATAGGTGTATACGGACTGATTGCTGGTTGAAGAGTTGCGTAAAGAAGTTTCACACAGGTGCATCAGAGATTTATAACTATGCAAGTTTCTATCAACTGCAAATAGATATTTTCCTTTTGCTTAACACAGTTAGTGCAATCGAGTTTTTGGTCCTTGTATGAGATCTGTGTTAACTGTTTTGAAAAAGTGTGTGAAACATGTGTGAAACTGATTAAAAGGTGTTACCACGTTTGGGAGAGAAGACTACTGCTGTGCTGAGAGGGTTTGTGATGGAAATCAAGTGGATTGCAGTTTCCAGAGAAAAACTGTGATGCTCAGACACAACCTGATGTTTTTACACTTCTTTTTTTGAATAGATTAAACAAACAGGATATAAATTGTGAATGAGTGAGCCTTAGGGGTGTTGGAAGGTATATTTTTCATACTGCCCTGCTGATTGTATCCCCTGTTTCCAGTAGCTGTTTAACTTGTGCTAACCACCTCCTGGCTCAAGCTCCATATTTAATGCACAAACACAACCTGAGCTTTTTATTTTTTTCTCAGGAGACTCAAATCTTTCAACACCTGCAGAACAAGGTTGCAGATGTTTCATTACTCAGAGCAGCTGATGCCAACAGACTCAAAATGCTCATCAGGAGAGCTGGTTCGGTCCTGCGAGTGGAACTGGAGTCTTTAGTGGAGGTGTCAGAGACAAGGAAACTACTCAGTATTCTGGACAACTCCTCATCTCCTGAACTCCACTCTGGAGTCATATCAGAGCACATTTAGCTTCAGACTGAGACCAGCAAGGAGCACCACAGGGCGCCACAGGAGGTCTTCTCTACCTGTGGCCGTCAGACTGTATAACTCCTCCCTTCTGTAGAGAGGAGAGCTGACACAAAGGGCACTGACAGCAATATAATATGATAGTAATAGTAACTGTAATTGCAAGCATCCTCTGGCACAAGAATTTCCTTCAGGATAAATAAAGTTCTATTGAACTGAATTAAATTAATTTTACCCAATGTCAGCTGGGATATGCTCCAGCTATTTCTGTAAGCTGAAACCATTTCCCTCAGTGGAAACAAAGCTTTTATTTACTTTAATTTCGCAGATAAGAAACAATAAATTGTGAAGACAATAAAGCCTCCACAAAAATAGCATTTTAAGTCTTGTGTGATTTATCCTGGCTTCATATGAGCAGAGGAAATCTATGCTTTTCGCTAGGCTAATTATTACAATGACGTAAAATGCCATAGGCTTGTGCTAATAATAATGGAGATATGAGTAGAGGAAAAAGTCCACTAGCTGCTAGGCTAATTTCTATAATGTAAAATGCCATAGGCTTGTGCTAATAACGTTAGCATTTTGTATTTGTTTGGAAAACGTGTTTAGTATAAGACAGTTGTTTTGTCAGTGAACCTTGTGAGTTGTAATGGAGCTAAATTTTGTAACGTTACCTTTGTTAAATGTTAAATGTTACTCTTCATATGGGTAGAGGAAAAGTCTGCTAGCTGCTAGGCTAATTTATACAATGTAAAATACCATAGGCTTGTGCTAATAATGTTAGCATGTTGTACTTGTGGGGAAAATGTGTCCAGATAAAGACAAGTGTTTGTCTGTGAATGCTGCGAGTTATAGTGAAGCTGATTTGTGTACTTGTGTTTTAAATTGTCTCTATTTAGCCATGTTTAATGTGTGTTTAATGTGTGTTTTGAATCAACTAAACTTCACAGCACTTCACAGAGACCCTGCCACCGACTACTGTTTTGGAAGTGTAACTGCAGAGTGACACAGACACACCACCACACAAGTATAAATGCTAGGAAACAGCATAGGCTGTGTGTGTAGGTAGAAATCCCCCTTTATTCCTCTAACGCACAAACATGTGAGAGGTATCAATCTTCTCATCTAACTCTCAGCAAGAAAGCAAATGTGTGTTTTTCAATATGTTGAACGTTTCCTCTACCCTGGTTTTCAATTGCAATTCACCAGCCTCGGCACTATTGTGCTGGAGGCAGAGTGCTGGTTAGAGGAAGCAACAAAAGAAAAAAGGCACTCATCATTTGAAGCCTCGCACAGTCTCTCTGCATTCATCATCCCGTTCTGTTCATATCATCCACCCACTCCCTCTGATGTACTGAAGAGGAGCGGACCCAGCTGGACACTGAACAACTGAAGGACAGAGAGGTGCTCGTCTCTTCTCCTCCCCGCATCTCATCATCCTCATCCTCTACACGAAATCAGACAAGCCTGCCCGCTTTGTTTTCTTTCATAAAGGTCTGTGTCTCTTTGCAGGTGAGGTGCTGATGACAAGACCCGCTCAAGTGACTCTCTCTTTTGTGCACCAAAAACAACAACAACAAAAAACTGCCTGAAATATTAAATAGTCGAGAGGAAGAAGTAGAAAGGATGAGCTTTTTCAATGACTGACATTTTATGTGTTGAATCAATAAAAAGATTCCAGCTGTCGTCTAGACACTCTCATATAAGCAGTGAGTCCTGACTAAATATCACTGTTTACAAAGTGAAAACAGAAACAGTTTATCTTTGATTTGAATGTACAGTAACACTTTGACCAAACAAAATGAAAAATATCAATCAGATACAGCGAGCCTGTCAGTTGTGATAACAGCGAAACAAATATATGCTTTTATTATATCGTTTCACAGACTCATTTCTCATCCAGGTTGTGTAACAGGATTTTAAGTGACATCAGTGTTGCTAAGGCAAACAAAATTTGTGCCTAATGGGAGTAAAGCTGGAAATCTAGTGGCTGCTAATCTGATGATTCGGGGGGACATTATGTGGAATTAAAGAAAGATTTAGAGCTCAAATGAAAGACATTTAGTAACTGAAGATTGTTGAAACAAGGATGAGGAACTGGACATTCTGGTAGATTAATACTGTAAGGGAAAGATTTCCTTTGAAGAAATTACATTCTGAGCACATTTTGAAATCTGTCAGTCTTTTATCTGGGGAAAAAAAGTCTGCTTTTGATGCCAGTATTGATTACAAGTTTGTTTGACCTTGTGAGTGGTGTTATCTTCCCCAAAGCATACTAACTAGGGATCTGAGAGGAGACCCTACACTGTACACAAGACGTGGATGTGGCCACAGCAACGTCACCCATTGGTTTGGGAGCTGCCGCTTTGACTCCACAAATGTTCTCTTAATATCTTCATATGAGGACATCACATTTTGGGCTTACTAGACCTTTAATGCCTAGCTAGGAGAAATCAAAAATGCATACTAGATAACACTCTGGGAGGATATTCAACAGGGAATCCAAAATTGGAAAATTAAACAGTTTGTTATCTCATTATTCATTTATGAATCCAACACAAAAAACAAATAATGGCTTGTTCTTTGTACTTTTGATTTCATGCTCAAGTCAAAAACATGATGCTGTAAGTGAACGCAGAACCAAACTGACTGCAACCCCTGCACATGATCGACAGCTCCACCTACAGCTCCTAACACACACATACACACACACCCTCCAGCGTGTCCTGGATCTACCCAAGGGTCTCCTACCAGTGGGACGGGCCCGGAACACCAGCTGCCCAGGAGGCATCCTGATGAGATGCCTGAACCACCTCACCTGAGCCCTCTCAACGTGAAGGAGCAGCGGCTCTACTCCGAGCTCCCTCTGGATGTCCGAGCTCCTTACCCTATATCTAAGGCTGAGCCCAGACACCCCACCAATGACACTCATTTCGGCCACTTGTATCCACGACCTCATTCTTTAGGTCACTACCCAGAGCTCATGACCATAGGTGAGGGTTTGGACGTAGATGGACCAATAAATCGAAAGCTTCACCTTCCGGCTCAGCTCCCTCTTCACCACGACAGTTTGGCACAGCTGAAGCTGCCCCAAACCACTGATCCATCTCATGCTCCATCCTACCCCAAGATACTTGAACTCCCTCACTTGAGGCAGTAACTCTCCCCCAACCTAGAGGGGGCAATCCACCGGTTTCCGGCAGAGAACCATGGCCTCAGACTGCTTCACAGTCGGCTACAAACCGCCCCAGTACATGCTGGAGGTCACGGTGTGATGAAGCAAACATAACAACGTCATCTCCGAAAAGCAGAGAGAAATTCTAAGGTCCCCAAAGCGGACCCCTTCCTCCCCTGGCTGCACCTCGAGATCCTGTCCATGAAATCCCCCTAAATTTTACACACTGGACATTAAAGCAGGAACATCACGTGTAAAAACAACCTACAGCTTAAACTCAAGCACTAATTGATCAGCATTAAAACTGTGGTACAGCAGCAAACATACAGTCGAGGTGCTTTACACGTGATATTCTGCCAGCTTTCGACTTATTCTTAGAAAACTGGCACTTTCATGTTGTTGCTTAATTACACACGCACTCTTAATGAGGGCCATTAACAAAGTAGAGCTTACTCCGCTCATTTCATTCTGCTCTGGCCAGAAGAAAAGATGGGAACGATATTGCCGGGTAATGTGATTAACAGATAGTTCACCACTCATTAGCTACAGTCATATCTTATGTTATATTGCAAATAACGTATGTAGAGCTCAGATCTTACCTTAGCTGTGGCCCTCGCCTGGTACTCTGGACAGCCATTCACTGTAATGGTTTCATGCATGTACTGGTACACCTGGAAGAAATGAAGAGAGACAGGTGTTATAATTATGTTTCACAGGGCTGGAAATGCATCTGAGCTCAAACAATTCATTTCCATAGTCAAATAATGGTGTTCTCTCACAGCTGGCTGCATGGACATGTGCTGCATTAACAGGCTGACTGATGGAAACATACGGCGCTCGGCAACAGAGTTATTGTATGCTTGTACTAATTGCATCATCCATAAGTCCTGCTCGGAATAAGTCCTACACATGCAAACAGTATGTAAATCTCATTATTTTGCGCTCAGATGCATTTGTAGGCGACGCCATGCAAATCAAGGTTTTCTTAAATTCACTCGTATCAGGAAATCCCTTTGAAATATGAAGACTTACTGCAAACAGCAGCAAATCGGGTAAATGAGGATGAAAATTTTGTGTCAGACAAGATAAGAGTACTTTTCAATTACTGTATTAAGGATGTTTTAAGGTGCAAAAGGTTCCAGACTTGAAGATTATATAATTGTAGTCTGAACTAAATCCATCTAAAGGGTGCTCCTTATTTGTGCAGCATCTTGGTATGAATACGTCTCTTCACGAATGAGACAAATTCTTAGCTCAAGAAAACGCAGGCTCAACCTGATCCTGACCCTGCAGCACAAACCACTGGGCCTGAATTGGTGCCAAGAGTCGGGTTGCTGTACGTCGAGTTGGGTAAAAAACAAGATTTTCTGCCTATTCGCCGAGGCAGACAGAATCAATGCAGACAGCTGACCTTTCCAGTTAAGATGTCTCTTAAAGACACCTTACAACTGAACTTGTTCACAGATTAAGCAGAGAGGATGGAGCCAGTGTTGAATGAGGATGTGTAGTTAATACACTGTAACACAAAAGTACTTTTTTCTGTAAGTGCACTCCTGAATGCTGCTATTCAAATACATCTTCACCTAACCAGCTGTGCTGCAGCCTAAAATCCCTCCAACACTGACAACCACATAATGAACAGTACAATCAGAGGATGGAGATGAAAGTGTGTAAGGATCATTTGGAGTTTTTGGAGTAGGGTTGTATGAGGTACTTATCCATAGTCAGTGTATTACCAACAGTAGATGGCAGTCCCACTCCCGCTGTGTTTTGAGAAGCAGGCACGAGTACCAGGCTGAAGCTGAGCAACGTGCTGCTGTGGATGTGGGGAGCAGCAAAACTCAAGCAAAAATCAATACCAGTTTAAGGCCCAATCCCAATATCCCCCCTTGGCCCTACCCCTAGTCCTTGCCCACTACCCCTTGCCCACTACTTCCCTGTCTCTTGCTCGGTGGTAGCCATGGCGACGTCTACCCCTCGCTAGACTCACAAGTCAGTCTTTAGACACTTTGCTTAACTAAAGACTGATGACTTTCTCCCTGATTTTGTGTTTAGATGGGCGGATACAATTTCAGAGTTTAAAAAAACTCCCTACGTTGCAGAACCAATAGTAAATCTGCAGGGCGGTCCTTCGGTGGCTCGCTGAATTCTTGTGCTTGTAAACATAGTCCCACTAGAAACACGTGTAGCGGTACAAGATGGCTCAGCCGTGCTCGCAGAAATTGCCGTCAAAGTTAGTGGATGTTTGTTGCGTTTGCGGCGACACATTCTCACCAACTAAAAGAAACAAACATAATCTTTTACAAGGCCATGACTCATCCGTCCGGCCGGACTATAACGTTAGAGGGAATCGCCTTGTTGTTTACAAATACTTCCGGGTAGAAAACCAGCAGAGCTTTTAGCTATATATATATATATAGCCTATATATCACATTTTTCACATCACTGTATCACCGTTTAGACTAATCCGATGTTTGTAAAGTCTATAAACACAATGATTGAACAAACATTACTATTTCTTTGTGCACCTTTAGCTGGGCTAACCGTTAGCTGTTAGCCCTGTTAGCTGTTAGCGGTGTCTGTAATAGGTAATAACTCATTAAACGGTCCGTGAAAATTTTTTTTTTTCCAGCAGATATCTTAGTTACAACATGATTGAGCTAGCTAAGCAGTTTTGTGTTGCTATGTGTGGTATTTATTCAGTTTTGGTAAATCACGATGTCTAGAAAGCATCAGTGGCTGCAGCTGACAGGGACAGTTAACAGCAGCAGCAAAGCTACAACAGGACGTCATCTGTTAAAAGCCTCCCGTTGTCGGATACGACATGAAACTACTCCACTTAGCTCAATCATGTTGTAACTAAGACATCCGCTGGAAAAAATATTTTCTTCACGGATGATCACACGTTTGATAAAATGGAGTTAAATCTCTCGGCATCCATTTTCAAGCTCTCTGTGTGTTTGTTTCCTTCCGCACGAGAAAAGGGGGAGCGCACATTTCCGAGAAGGCGTGTCCTTTTCAAAAATGCAAGAGGCGTTGCTTTGTTGCCGGCCATTTTCGCCGGTGTGTTAAACACACTTTAGAAAGGAGTGTCCCCAGACTATCAGAAGGCGGAGATCTCTGATTGTCTGGTGGCAAGACTAACCCCTCGCTGGCAAGTCAGCATCTGAAATTCCTCGCTCCGAAGGGCTAGTTTCATACCCACTACCCCTCGTTATGCCCCCTACACGCAAAAAGGAATTGGGACACCCTTAACCCTCGCGGGAACGTACAAATTTAGGGGTAGGGCTAAGGGGGGGTTTTGGGACGGGCCCTAAAAGTACACTATATTCAAAATATTTTTACTGCTTTACCTTGCAGTCAGACAGTCAGTCATTTTCTGACAAGGAACTGAATTGAAACTTATTTATGCTCTCTTTGAAGCCACCATACTCCACTGACAAAAACAGTAATTTTACCTTGCAGAACATGGGAGTTGCTGCTGTAACAGTCTGTTAGTGTCATAGTCTGTGCCTTTCCTTCATTGCTCATGTGTCAGCTGTTTTCCTCCCTCCCCTTTGTTTCTTGTGGGTCCTTGTTTGTCTGTGTGTCTGGGTCTCATCAGTGCTGCTACCAATTAACTCCTGCTGCCAATCTGCCTGCTCACCTGATAGCCATCCACTAATCAACCCCAGCAATACAAATACCCCTGCTCTGCAGCCCAGTCTCTGCTCATCCTTCAGATCATTCAGTCTACCTTGTGATTCACACTCACTGGTCACCCATTTGCCTGCCCCTCCAGCCTGTTATAGTTGCTGCTGGCTATGTCACAAAAAAGAAAGCCATGATGGAGATGGATTTGCCATCCCCAAGGCATATAAAGCACCATTTTTAACTAAGCACCACTCTCCTTAGCCCCATTTCCACCGAGCAGTATGGTTCAGGTTAGTTCGGTACGCTTTTTTGTGAAAAGCTGTGGATGGTACCAATGGAAGGTTCAGGTTCAGGTTATTATTTATTGATACCCAAGAATAAACTAGTTTTGCAGTCGAGAATCAAAACATCTATCACAGTTTGAACAATCAAAACAAAACATAAAACATAGAATACAAGAAAGAAATTTAAAATCGACAGAAAGTGCTGCAATCCATGAAATAAAAGCGCAAAGAGAGCAAAATTCCCTACAAGACGTGAGTTAAAAGAATAAAAACAGTTCAGTAGAATAAGAATTAAACAATGAGATAAAAATCAATCAATAAATAAAAAATACGATACATACTCTAAAGTGACTGACTTTGACAGTTTTGTGCAAAGATTTGACAGCTTGTTTACCAGTGTGATTGCTGCTGGAACAAAGCTGTTACAACTTGGGACTAAAAACCTCCGTCCAGAGGGAAGAAGCTGGAACTCGCTGTGCAAAAGATGCAACCTGTCATTTAAAATGGTCCTGGCTATCCGCTGTAACTGTTTGGTATACAGGGAAGAGGGGTTCAGCTGGGACTCGCCAATCAGCTTACTTGACCATTTCACAATTTGATTTAAAGAGTTCTTATTCTTAACAGAGAGGCTACCGAACCATGACACCAAGGAAAAGGATAAAATGGATTCAGTAAAAGCATGATAAAATGTTGGGGTACCTAGCACACAGATCTGGTACTAAAGGGTGGAGCTGTGAACACAGCAGTCTGATTGGTCAGTAGAGGACGGTCAGTTTTGAGGCTCATGTAACCACTGTTCATACTGTGGAGAGTTTTATTAGTAAACTGCAACTATAAAATGAAAGGATGTTTTGCTGCCGGAGTTTTGCTGGAGTCGGAGAAAAAATAACTTCATTCACTGGGCTGACTGCCGGTGACTTTTAAGGTGGAACGTTAAAGCCTAGTTCACATTACACGATTTTCACCACGATTTTGACATCGCAGAGGATCTTGAGAGCGCCACCTTGGGTCGGAGGTGAGTCAGCAGATAGTCTGCCACGATGAGTCCTCATGTGTGGACAAGCCTAGGAGCAAGTTGCCCCCTCGTTGGCGACTGGGACTGGATATCTGGCATGCTAGAAAACTGGAGAAGTCTGACACTACTGACAAAGACCATCAGCCAATGAGAGGCGGGATACGTCCCACGTCAGCACGCAGGAGGATGGAAGAAATGTGAGGAGAACAAGCCGCAGGGTTGCCACTTGCCAGGTCCGCTTATTAGCCGTGACTTTGGGCTTGTTTCTAAAGTGGAGCTGCTTATTTGGGCTTGCTCTCAAACGTCACCTTTCTCTATATATATCCATCTAATAACTTATTTAAACGCATGGTAGTTGCTTCTTTTGGGCTTGTTTCCATAGGCCTGGTTGCTTGTTTCTCTCCCAAGATCTGGCAACACTGACAAGCTGGCAAGCAACAACAACAACAATGGTTCCCACAGGAACATGGGGAGTGCATTGTGTTTGGACCCCAGTGCAACTGCCCTGCCTGCACTGTCTATATTCACGCCCCTGGTCTATCGTACACAAACTGATACTGATTTATTAGTGTTTAAAATACATTTTGCTGCTGCCCCCATCCACAGCAGTACATTGCTTAGCTTCTGTAGTGGTGCTCCTGTGTGCTTCTCCAAACTGGAGGTGTGCCAGCTGACATCTACGGTAGGTACACTGACTATAGATAAGTACCTCATACCCACTTCAATAGCTCTGAACTAT